CTTACTCCTTACTACTACTACCTTACGTCACTACTACTACTACTACTACTACTACTCTACTCTCTACTCTACTCTACTCTCTCTCTCTCTCTCTCTCTCTCTCTCTCTCTCTCTCTCTCTCTCTCTCTCTCTCTCTCTCTCTATATATATATATATATATATATATATATATAAAAGAAACCAGTCTCTCACTTTGCAGGAGGCACACCACAGTATTTCTCTTTATAAGAAACTCACTTTTCTCTTAAGGGAGGCCTTGTCTCCATAAGAAGTTTTCTTCTCTTAGAAGGGAGGCCTTGCCTCTCATGCACTGGAGGCTCCTACCTCTCTCTCTCCCTCGAGGAAGCTATCTTTCCCATATGTTGACCCAAATAGGGCACACATAATATTTTCTCTTTCATCCCATATATATAAGGTTAGGAATCCAGACTAAATAGGAAACTTCCCATAGATACATATGTTTTAAATATGTTACATATATATAAGAATCAAGAGATATACCTATGAGTCCTAATCTTTTTGGATTTCTATTTTCTTTAGGAAACTTATCAATATCAATTTCAATCCCACATGATATGGGATTTCCTTATGTGGGTGATTGTTTATATCACCATATTCAACAATCTAAGCACTACATCGACTTGGTGAGAGATAGGTAGGAGGGAGCTAACTAGTGTACAAACAACTAATGGAGAGACGAGTGAGTTTTCAATGACAATAGGTCTACATCAAGGGTCAGCATTGAGCCCATACCTCTTTGTCTTAGTTAAAGACGACTTAACTAGGCACCTACAAGATGAGGTATCGTAATGCATGTTGTTAACAAATGACATAGTTTTGATTGATGAGACCCAAAATGGCGTCAACACAAAGTTAGAACTTTGGAGGGATCCTCTAGAATCCAAAAGTTTTAAAATTCGTAAGACAGAGTATATGGAGTGCAAGTTTAGTAATAATATGAGTAGAGACGAGGAAGTAGTCAAGATTGACAGCCGGGAAGTACAAAAAAGACAGCATTTTCGATATCTTGGGTCGATAATCCAGAAAAATTGAGAGATCAAAGAAGACGTCAAAAACAGAATTAGAGCTAGGTGGGTAAAATGAAGATGTGCAACTGGAATTTTATGCGATCCCCGCATACCAATGAGGCTGAAGGGCAAATTCTATAGGACAACGGTGAGACCATCTTTGCTCTATGGGCCTGAATGTTGGGCAGATAAAAAACAAGATACCCATACAATGGGTGTAGCGGAGATGAGGATGTTGAGATGGATGAGTGGCAAGATAATAATGGATAGCATTCAGAATGAATCTATTGGAGAGAATTTAGGCGTGGCACCAATAGGCAATAAAATGAGAGAGAGTAAACTTAGGTGGGCTGGCCATGTGTGGCACCATCCAAGTACAGCACCTGAAAGGTGGTGCGAGTTAGTTCAAGCAGAAGGATTGTAAAGAGCAAAAGGTAGGCCCAAAAGGACGTGGTTGGAAGTAGTTCGAAAAGATATGGAGACTTATGGCCTCACTGAGGATATGGCCTTTAACAGAGTAGAACGGAGAACCAAGATCATATAGCCGAGTCCAATTAATTGGGAAAAGGTTAAAATGATGGTGATGATTCAACAATCTCCACCTTGATATCAAAATCACTTGCTCACCATGCCAACATCCAATGGCTAGCTTTATGAATTCATCATCTTTTGTCAAATAAAATCCTTCATCATTCTTGCTGCCTTGCTGAAAAAAAGTGCTTGCCATCATATTTCTCTACGTCAAATGAAACACTCGCATACTTTGCCATGTGCTTTTCTTCTACCGAATGCACAAACACTAGCCTTGTACTGAACCATGTGTTGTGATACCACTTGTTAGGATTTAATAGCCCCCTTAGATGCGGAAGCAAGATTCTCAAAAGTTAGATACCATCAAGATCGTGTACTTATCTAGCTAGAAACAAAATAGGTGAGAGTACGAGCCATAATATGAGAAATAAAGTATGAAACACGCAGGCCACAAGAATACAAAGATTTACGTGGCTATATCACGGGCCTGGCAAACTAAAATCCACTATACCAATGAAAGTTACATAAAAAAATTTGAGACATAGAGCTACCTCTTTAACCCCGACAAAATCTAGTCGAGCAAGCCCTTTTAAACACACGCTCCCGATTGGCACCATCTGTCGATTTCTCATCCCTATTTCACAAGTAAACTACTATCTAAGAAGAGACTCATCTCTATTCCACAGTTAAACCACTGTTCAGGAAGAGATCCCTCAGAGCAACCGAGACTTTCTCTAACTAAAAAGGGAAACCATCCAAAATCTCCATGGGAACCGCTTCTCTATAAGAAACCCGCCTCTCACTCTGCAGGAGGAACATCGTAATGTTTTTCTCTATAGGAAGCTCTCTTCTCTCTAAAGGGAGGTCTTGCCTCTCATGCAGAGCAGGCTCCTACCTCCCTCTCTCTAGAGGAAGTCAACTTTCCCATATGGTAACCCAAATAGGGGCGCATATAATATTTCCTTTTTCATCCCATATATGTAAGGTTAGAAATCAAGACAAAATAGAAAACTTCCCCATGGATATTACTTGCATATGTCTCAAGAATCAAGAGATATACTTAAGAGTCCTAATCTTTTTGGATTTCTGTTTTCTTTAAGAAACTTACCAATATTAATTCCGATCCCACATAATATGGGATTTCCTTATGTGGCTGATTTTGCATATCACCATATCCAAAACACACTTTCCCTAAGCATAACACCTTTTGTGTCACAAACTACAAGAACTAAGCAGCAAAACATAGTCTAGGCTACTAGAAACATGAGTTGTATACTAGAGCATGTGCCTCAAGGAAACATATGATGCACCTACAACAAAGTGTTCAAGATGGAGACAGAGACCTGGCTTACTTGCAAAAGCAATGTTTTTAAACTTGTATTCGGGCATGGAAAAGCGCAAGGCCCGAGTCCGAGTCAAAACGATAGAATTGGCCAAGCCTAACTCAGACATGGCGGAGTCTTTAAAAGAATTACAAGAAAACTCGAGGGACTGTACCCAAGGGTTTTCACTCAGACCCAGCAACTTTTCTAGGTCTGAGTAACTCAACAAAGTCCAAATAGTCCGAGCCAGCTTCAACAAGTTTTAAAATCCTATGTGAAGTAAACATTATCCAAAGTAAGGGAGGTAATGCTTCCTAAAACTTTATGTTGACTATTTTATCATTTTACTAATTTTTGTCTCGTAGTGTCTTCCCACCCCATTATCTCTCTCTCTAAAAATGTGATTTTTAAGCTCCTCTCTCACAAATTCTCCCTCTAAAAACCAAGCTCATTATTTTGACTTCTCACATTCTCCTCTAAATACCTAACATTTTCTTTTCCATTATCACATTCTCTCTCTAAAAACCCAATCCAAGTCTATTCTCATCTTCATACTCGCTCCCTATATATCTAATCTCATTTTTGCCTCCAATCACATCCTCTCTAGAAACCCAACTTCATTCTTCCCTCCTCTCATATTCTCTCTCTAGAAACCCAAATCTCATTTTTACCTCCACTCACTTTCTCTCACCAGCAAACCCAACCCCAGTATTGCCTCTTCTCACATACTTTAGGGAGCGAATGTGAGAGGAGGGAAGAATGCAGTGGATTCTGAGAGGAGGGAAGAAAACCATGAGAAAAAAGTGAGAGATAAGAAGCTTTAAGATTTTGTTTTAAAAAGAGGGGGAAATCAGTCTATTTACCCCTCTATAAAAGTGGGAGGGCCAAAGTCAAAAACAAAATCCTATGAGATCTTATTTCTTAAAAGAAAATTCTTATGAGGCTTTTCTCTTAAAAAGCCCTATATTGTAAGTACTTCGCATTTGAACATGTACCAAGGAAGCTGAGATCAATCTTAATTACATATGACTGTATTACCAAAGAGTTTATTTCTTAAAAGAAGATTCTTATGAGGTTTTTCTCTTAAAAAGCCCTATATTGTAAGTACTTCGCATTAAACATGTACCAAGGATGCTGAGATTAATCTTAATTACATATGACTGTATTAACAAAGAGTATATAGTCACTATTAAATTTATACTAGTACAATAGCGATCGTCCATCATTTTCAGTAGGGAAAATAAGAAAAAATTTATATAAGGTGTCAACCTTATACTGTACAAGTAAGGTGCACCTAAAGAACCCACTAGAGAAGGTTATTCATATGCTGGAAAACCCTCAAATCGATCATCTCGACATTGAGATTCATAGACATTAAAAATGGGGATTTCTAGCCCTTAGTTCATCTTCTAACACATTATCTGGACCGTCTATTTTGAAGATTTTCAAGTGTTTAGAGATCTGCATGATCGTCACCACTTCTGGAACTTTAAATTTCATAATTGGAAGCAACAATAGATTTTCATATCATTGCAAGGCTTTGCAGCACCGAAACTGCATTCTCGACATAATTATGAGGTGCACCTTACTTCAATAGTATAAGGTTGACACCTTATACAAACCTCACTCGGGAAAATATGTTATTATTTATTTAATATCACATAAGCGTTCATAGATAAGCCAAGTGATAGCACTATAAACCCTAGTCTTACTTAAGTTTCTTCTATACCATGTTCAACAGGTTCATTTCAAGTGATACAGGCATTCCCCAAATTTTCTACCAAAATAATGATATTGATCTCTTGTTTACATATTTTCTCAAATTTCTTAGTTACTAAAATTATCTCCATTTTGTAATAGGACTATGAGACTCAGATAGCATTGACTGATCAATTTTCTATGTTTGGTAACTTCATAAATGGACACAGAAGACAAGTATATGAGCCTGTACATCAATCATGTTAGCCCACAATCATTTCCAATCATTCATTTCTAATCAATTTAAACAATTGACAAATTAGTAATTCAGTTTTTGGTTTAAAAAACAAAAGGAAATAAAAATTTGGAACCAATCAGATATGTGACATGTAACACCTGATGAACAAAACAGAAACATCAGCCTTGAGCCTTTTTGCACCAACAAACAAACTCCAACCAGTAGTTAGAAGGTGACGTTTTGGCTGTCCTGAAAAAAAGGTGAATTAGAAAATTGTGTAGATTAATCAAAAAGCACATAAACTTCACATGACTAATTGAAACTTTGTCCCTTTAACAGAATAGAAAGTACAATACCATCAAATAAACTTTGCAAAACCAAGATCTGTTGAGGTCATTAGCTTCCAATCAAATGATGGAGGATATCTTGGGTCCCACTCCCCCTCCATCACCATCCATTTGATTGGACATTGATGACCACAATGGAATACCATTTTTGGGGATCCATTGGATGATAGTTTATTTTCACTTAACAGAGCTATGGTACAAAGCTGCAGCCCCAATCCATTTAACTCTTTGGACGAATGATGTCACAAACTTAAAATATTAATAAAATTCAGAACAATTTATCATCAATGGACCAAAACCCTACCCCTGTAAATGTGCCGGAATGTCCACAAGTTATCATGTAAATCTCTAGCCACAATCTCCTGTGCTGGTGGCTGCATGGTGAAATCCTGAAAAAAAAAAAAGAGAGAATGGAGTTAAGGCTGATTATTCAACATGAAAAACAAAGTGTTTGAAGCCTCAAGTTTTCCAATTCAAGAAGCTTTCGCCCCTTAGAAGTTCAAACATTAACACTATTACTCAATTATAAGATGTACCAGTGGAGGAAATAGTTTCTCGGCAGCCCTACGAGGCACTGAGAAACCACCATGAGTGCTTGTATCACTTGCTGTCAAAGTCTTACAGAAGAACTCTGATGGATGCTTACTTTGCTTTTGTCCAAAATCTGGCACAGAAAATAAATCCATTTCCTGACATGGAAGCAGTGTCACCATACACCCCTATAAAATATTTCCCCATTACCGAAAAGTTAAAAAGAAAAACATCAATACAGTGCCTGCAACACCTGTGTAAACCATGCAATTGCTCCATAAATTTGGAATCTCAAAAAGTGCATAAGATCTCATTTTCTTTTTAAATGGCCATATTGGCATCTTACTCAAATACGCTCAATTATCCTGACAGCTAGGGTAACAAATTTACTAGTGTAGGCACTAGTTTGAGATTCCATGTTTCTCAAAAACCTTCAACTAAAGCAGGTGGTCCAGGAACTGTTTTGATACATTGCCCAAGAATAAATGCCATTTTAGAAAGCTTCATTTCAAAATTTGAAATATCATGGGTGCTGCTTACACTTTTCACTGGCTGAAGAGTCATTTGTGCATATACCTCATCTGTATCTTTGTCTGCCTGAGGATCCATATATGCAAGCAATAAGGAGCATTCACTAACTCCTCGAACAAAAAGGAATCCAGTTGCAAAAACTTCAACGTTGAAAGACTTTCGTAATTCTACTATAAGAATGATGGATATGGAAAACCACAAGTCCAGTTCGGTCACGACTCATGACTCTCAAATTAAATGATGAATGGTGACAGCGGGAGTTGAAACCCACTTTGGGGTCATATCTTGTACCTTGGATCCCTACTCTCCATCAACATCCACCATTTAATCGGACAGTGAGGACCTTTCCACAGTTTTTCCATAATTCATTAGCATACTTCCCCTGTCTAGAGGCAAAATAAAAGAAGCCCTGTAGAACCAACACAACATCATGCATACATGTAATGTGACATCACAAACTTGACACGATAGCTGTGAGGAGAGACCCAGATAGTTTGTAAAATGCGACGTGGAAATCCTTTGTGTTGATACAGCGACCTATTTCACAAGCATATCAAAAAATTATGAGCAAAAAAAGTAGGAAAAACATGAAATCAAATATGAGTGCATGCAATTATCTAGAAAAGTTCACAGACTTAGAAGAGACTAATCCTTTGCATGCAATTATCTAGAAAAGTTCACAGACTTAGAAAGAGTAATAGCCTCAGTGCCTTACTAACAAGTCAATCAATTAACTAATTCTCTCATTAATCATTTATTTATTCCATGTATATTTTCCCTGTATGTAAGTTCAGTTGAGATATATGTCCATATATTTGTACAGTTGACTTCACAAAGTGCACATGAGGGGGGGGGGACAAAAAAAGGAAAAAAAAAAAAATCAAAATCCATTAACCTGATGATCTTGTTGGTTACCAAAGAAATATAGACTTCATGACATAATTACTACATACAAGATGATACACAACTACACAAGAAACATATAGCTAACCTGTTCACTGTGTCCTTGAGGGAAGTAGTAAACAAGACTTCCAACTCGAGGTAAAGAAACAAGTGGTCCGGCGCAAGCATGCCAAATTACAGAATCAATGGTCTTTCTAGTCCCTGTACACAAGAAAAGCAAAAATATAAAATAATGTTCCATGGATAGCTAAACAAATATGGGATTTTCAAAAGTTTAATTATTAATATCTCGGCAATTCGTTGTTTATATTATCATGAATATACAGAGAAATTGATGAAAAAGAGCTCGAATTTGTTGTTCTTAACGAGAACATTACTACTTCTGTGACTATTCTGAACATCTTCCCTAATATGTCTTGTCAATTACCAATTTTGATCTTAACATACATAATCATGAGATGACTCAAGGGAAGATATTTAGGAATTTATATTAGATAGGAAACATATCATGAAGTAGAAATCTATACATGAAAAATTACAAACATATGAAGCCTGTAACAGAAAATACACCACTATAAATGCATCAGGTTCTTTGCTGAGAGTATTTTCCATGCTGCACTGGTGACTCCTCAAGAATCAATAACCCAATAAACAGTATTCTACTAAACATAATAATAAAATAAAATAAAATAAAAAAAAGAAAAGAAAATGAAGGACCTACAAGTTGAACTCCTCCATAGATGCATGCATCTTATAATGACATTGTTTTTAATAAATTATGATTTAACATACAGAATAACTATAATGAAAGGATTGACGAATTGAAGCCCATAATTTCATATTTTCATTTACACAAATCTTTTTAGTTTGTTAAAGCATCCTGAAGATGTTTGGGTTCAAAGTAACCAAAAGCCCCCACACAATTTCATATTTGCCATTTTCATTATATATCATTTTAAAAATATGCATGGGTAGACCTACACTCAGTATATCATGTATTATATATACTTATATGATTAAACAGCACCCATGGTACAATAAATACTTGAAAGCTCCACTGCAAGCTAAAACATAGATATTAAGCATGCCCAACTTCTATAAATTTGCAAATTGATGCATATTTATTTGGCAACAACAATTTCTTTGGGAAAATGATAAGGGCCTTGACGTGATTTCGCTTTTTTAGTTTTGGTCCTTGGCTTGGTGTTTAGGCATTGATGGCTGCAGCACAACACTAAAAGCTCAACTCCTGGCTAACTACCCAACAAAAATAAACAATGTTACGTCCTCTAATGAAAGAAGTCAAGAATAGATTGGAGACTTTATGGGTAGCAACATGATTATCATAGTCCATGTCCATGGAAAGTTGGACACTAAATCCAATGTTGCTCCTAAATGTTTTCAACTAGATAAGCTTGGGACTGGAGTACAACATTTTGCTATATTCCAATTCTATTGGATACTTCTCAAAGGCTTCTTGTTCTTTTGTATTAATAGGTCACTACCAACGAGTGTTATCAAGATTGGAGCGATCATTGAACGGTGAGAAGTCTGGTGCAATCAAAGCCGGTCCGACCACCGCTCAAACAGGTTTGACCAGATTTAAAATTATTAAGGAAAAACATGAATAATAATTTAAAAATATGCAGTATATTAGAAAATGAAAGTTGTCCACTTTGTTTGGCCAGTTGAACCGGTCGAAACTGGTAAAACACTGGTTTTGACTGGTTTTTTTACCAAACTCAATTTTTACTGTGGACCAAAATGGCCATGGACTGGGCAGACCGCCGGTTCGATCCGGTCTTGATGACTATGATCTCGATGGATGACAAAGACAATAAGGACTATGTTTCTCCATGGTCCTAATTCCTAAAGTATGTAATTCACTTTAAGATATTACCAAATTCTATGAACTTCTTCCAAATGGGATCGCCGAGGAGTATATGCCAAATTTGGCCAATATTGACTTTTTTTTTTTTGGGTAAGTTGCCAATATTGACTTACCAATACTAGAGTGCATGCCAGAAAATAAGTTTATTTAGTTAATAAGCATTTCAAAGCTATCTCTTGTTTAGGCCTAGTTGATGATTTAGCCAAATTCATTGTGTCTATGCTGTAGATTCTATTTGAGGAAGAAAATTTATTGTCTTTTTTATTTTACTCAAGGATATTTTCTCAATGGAATTTCTTTTTTCGTTTTTATTATACTAAATATTTAAGTTTGTGGTACCATCATGGTTAGATTGATTCAAACCAACAGTTGCATTCTATATAGAAAAAGACCATACAAGCCATTCCTCCTGTTCAACCTCTGGTCCAGTTTATAAAACACCGATTTTATTTTATTTTCTAGACACTGGAAAAACATCACTAATATATAAAAAAAGATTGAACAGAGAAGTGCATTTAAGAGATGTGTATGAGCATGCGCATGCACATGGATGTATGTATGTATGGCTATGGCCCAAACTGAGTAACTTGGCCTAGTCCTGTAAATTATTAAAAATGCCGAAAAATTCAAAAAAAAAGTAAAATATTTGGTCAATAGCAAAAAAAAAAAAAAGGAAAAAGTAAAATAATTAAATATAAATCATCAAAAATGTATAGAAGTCCAAATAAGTATATATAAGATTGATTATTGAAAATCTTGATTTATAACTTAAAATAT